TTTTTTAGGGGACATGGGAGGACCCTGGAGAGGAGGTAGAGGAGCAGCAAGAGGAACAAAAGGCAGCTGCGCCTCACCATGAGGAGTCACCAAATGCTGGTTCTACCCCTGACCCTAACGCACCAGCCCATGACCAGGAGCAGCCACAGGGGCAGCAGCAGCAACAAGAGAAGCCGCAGCAGCCACCGCAGCAGCATACACCGCCTGTTCCTGTGGGTAGGTGGCAGCAACAACTTCAGCAGCAGCTGTCCAAGTCACCACGGTCCCCCATGAAGAGAGTGACTTGGAAGGAGAAGCTGCAAAGTTTGGAGCAGGGGGAGGCATCACCTCTGCGCCGCACCACACGCATCTCCCGGCCACCTGAAAAGCTCACACCAAGTGCACAGTATGCTTGCATGCATGATCATGAGGTGCATGATTTGGAGGAGTGCATGTTTGTGGATTCTGAAAGGGGTGAGCTTGGGCTTGATTTCTGTCTCATGGGTCAGGTGCATGAGCCTAAGTCGGTCAAGGAGGCCTTGTCCCGTCCTGAGTGGGTCGAGTCTATGCGTGAGGAGCTTGAGTCTCATAGGGTGAACGAGTCCTTTGAGCTGGTTGATCCAGCTTGCACCTGGAATGGAGGTCTTGAGGTGTCAGTGGGTGTGGAAGTATAAACACATGGCTGATGGGAGTATTGAGAGGCCTAAGTCCAGGTTGGTGGCCATGGGAAACACTCAAACACGATGTGTTCACTATGACCAGGTACATGCCCCGGTGGGTAAACCTACTACCCTGAGAGGTTCCCTTGGGATGGCAGCATCTTCGGGGTTTCACATCCATCATATGGATGTGACCACTGCCTATCTTCACGGGGTCTTGAAGGAGGAGCTTTACATGAGGCAGCTCCCTGGTTTTGATGAAGGGTCCGGCAAGGTTTGCCGACTTCGAAAGTCAATCTATGGGCTAAAGCAAGCTCCAAGGCAGTGGTACCTCAAGTTTGATGAGGCGCTGATGGATTTTGGTTTTGAGAGGTCGGAGTGTGACCCCGCCTTGTACCACTTGGTGAGGCGTGAGGGCAGATTGTCCTTTTACCTCTATGTGGATGACATTCTGCTCTTGTCTTCGAACATGGCCTTGCTGGACGAGGTCAAGGGTCTCTTGTTCTCTTGTTTCCGCATGAAGGACCTGGGGGAGGCTAAATACTATTTGGGGGTGCAGATTGAGCGTGATGAGAGTGGCATCTTGATTCATCAGGAGAGGTACATTCTCAACATGCTTGAGTCCTTTGGCCTTTCTGAGGCTAACCCCGTGCGTACCCCTCTCCCTACAGGGTTCGATGTGCATGCACATGCTGAGGAGCCCTTGCTGAGAGATGAGCTGGTTCAGCTCTATCAAAGCATTGTGGGGTCTCTCATGTATGCAAGCACGACCACACAGCCAGAGATTGCTTATGCAGTGTCACAGCTGTCCAAGGTGGTGTCTTGTCCCAAGGCATTTCACCTGCAGGCTGCTAAGAGAGTGCTAAGGTACCTGAAAGGTTGTGTCAAGTCAGGTATCTTCTACCCCGCGCACACTGAGCCTAAGGTCGAGTTGGTGGGCTTTAGTGATGCTGATTATGCTGGAGATTCAGCTGATCGCAAGAGTCACACCGGCTATGTCTATTGCCTCAATGGTGCCGCCATCTCTTGGCAGAGCAAGAGGCAGCCGGTGGTTGCATTGTCCACCACTGAGAGTGAGTACATTAGTCTGTGTCAGTGCATTCAAGAGGGTGTGTGGCTGAAGCGTTTGTTTGGGGAGTTTGGGCATGAGTTTGCTGGTGGTGTGCCTGTGTTTGTGGACAACCAGTCTGCCATTGCCCTTGCACAGAATGCATGCTTGCATGGCCGCACCAAGCACATGCAGGTTCGGTGGCATTTCATCAGGGAGATGGTGGCAAGCGGCGAGGTGATCCTCCGGTGGTGCCCAACCAACCGTAAAGCAACGGACATACTCACCAAACCCCTCCCCTTTAAGCGGCATGGTGTGTGCATGTCCTTGATGGGGATGCAGCCCCATGTTGGCATGGTGCCTGAGCAGGATGTGGGAGGGCTGGTGCTTCTCTGCCTTGACGACATCATGCTGTGGATGGCGCCCCTCCCTGGGCAAGGGGGAGTGGAGTGAAGGATTTTGCCCAGTGGTGTTCAGCCACCTCCAGCACGAGCAAGGGGGAATGTTGATTGTGTAGGTGGTTGTAGTATTTTGCTCTAGCTGGTTGTGGGCTAAGGGTTTGGGCAAAATGTGGTGGTTAGACTTGTTGCGGGCTGGAATTGATCTCGCACCCAACAAGCACCAACAAACCTTTGCTATTCACTACAACACCTTTGGTGTTGCTAGGGTGGCATTTTGGGTTGTTGGGGATTGTTGTAGGGCGAGGTTTGGTTTGGTAGGGTTTGACAAACTCGTCACTTTTCAGATCTGAACTCTTGCTTAAACGACTCCTAGATCTAATCCATGGCTGCCAAGTAATTCCGCCAGGATACCCCGTCGCACTTAAATCGCGATAGCGATCGGCCTAGATCTTGGTTGAAGGCGTGCTTTATCATTCTGGAACGTAGAGATTAAGACCTTTCCAACGCGTACCTGCTCATATTTTTAGGTTACGTGAGCTGCACGCAATGGTTCGCCGAAGTCGGCAGACTTAATCTCTTGTTACGCTCTCCAGATTCGCACGCTTTCCATCAGACCCCACCACAGCTTACCAACGAGACGCGCTGGAGCACCCCTCCCAAAGGCCCTCACATTCATTCCCTCTATGCCCTCACATTCATTCCCTCGCTGCCCTCACAGTCATTTCCTCTATGCCCTCACAGTTATTTCCTCCCTGCCCTCATAGTCATTTCCTCTCTGCCCTCACGGTCATTTCCTCTCTGCCCTCACATTCATACCCTCTCTGCCCTCACATTCATTCCCTTTCTGCTCTCACATTCATTTCCTTTCTGCCCTCACATTCATTCCCTCTCTGCTCTCACATTCATTCCCTCTCTGCCCTCACATTCATTCCCTTTCTGCCCTCACATTCATTTCCTCTCTGCTCTCACATTCATTCCCTCTCTACCCTCACATTCATTCCCTTTCTGCCCTCACATTCATTCCCTCTCTGCCCTCACATTCATTCTCTCTATGCCCTCACATTCATTCCCTCTCTGCCCTCACAGTCATTCCCTCTCTACCCTCACATTCATTCCCTTTCTGCCCTCACATTTATTCCCTTTCTACTCTCACATTCATTCCCTTTCTGCCCTCACATTCATTCCCTCTCTGCTCTCACATTCATTCCCTCTCTGCCCTCACATTCATTCCCTTTTTGCCCTCACATTCATTCCCTCTCTGCTCTCACATTCATTCCCTCTCTGCCCTCACATTCATTCCCTTTCTGCTCTCACATTCATTCCCTCTCTGCTCTCACATTCATTCCCTCTCAACCCTCACATTCATTCCCTCTCCGCCCTCACATTCATTCCCTCTCTGCCCTCACATTCATTCCCTCTCTGCCCTCACATTCATTCCCTCTCCGCCCTCACATTCATTCTCACTATGCCCTCACATTCATTCCCTCTCTGCCCTCACAGTCATTCCCTCTTTGCCCTCACATTCATTCCCTCTCTGCCCTCACATTTATTCCCTCTCTGCTATTTTGTAGATTTGTAGGGTGTGTGATTTTGTTCAAAATCTTTTCTAGCTTGATTGGGTTTTATGCTTGCATAATCATCCATTCAATAAACTCTCGATAAAAAGGCCTGATTGATTCAAAACTTTTACCACATTTACTCTTCGACCCCACCATGGCTTACCAGCGAGACGTGCTGGAGCACCCCTCCCAAAGGCCCTTGCTCGTTCCTGGCCTTTGTCGGCCAAAGCTGCCGCAACTAGCCTCAAAGGGGCGGTATGTCTGTTAGATCCCATCGTATTGCTACAATTATTCATGAGTCTGGGAGTGGTCTGCTGTCAAGCGACCGCGTGAAAGGGTTCGTTGGTCGTGCGATCATGCAAGATGACGTGGGTGACGTTGGGAGTCTTGTGGGTCTGTGATACTTGTGGCAAGACTATACAGTTTTGGTCTACTGAAAGGGCAAAGTCATAAGGGGTTTAGGCAAGCAGGGCCTAAAGACATCCTTGCTATTCCCGCGGTTCTTGGGTGCATTTGTTATGGCGCGAATAGGCTTCCAGCAGATGTCTGAGGTTAGTCGGACCCTTGGGTTTAAGTCTATCGGGAGAGAGACCTTCTATCGTTACATGCGACGACCGTACGATTTGTGGGAGGCTATCATTGTCCATGGCGACGAGAGCATGGCTAGAGCTCGACGGGACATGCAGCTGCGCAAGCATGGAGATGAGTACATTTCCGTTGATGGGCGTTGGTGACAGGCACGGGAGGCGCAGTGGTGCACAGTCACTTTCATGGATCCACGGTCACGAAAAAATTTGTTGACAGTTACGGTATATAAAAAGGACGAGGGAAAAAATCGATAGAGTTAGAAGGGGTTGCATTCAAGCTTGTTTTGAAGAAGTTGAGGGAGTGGGGGTTCAATGTGACCGGGATCATAAGCGACGATGGAGCGTCTTTCAAGAAGGAGTTCGTTGGTACGGGTATCAACCACCAGATGGACGTTTGGCACAAAGGTCGAGCATTGACGAGGCTGTTTGTGAAAGATTTTGTGGAGGCACATGTGGGTACTATGACAGTGGAAAAGGCCAAGTTATGTTCCGAGTTGTGGTTGGTTTTACAGAAAGACTTGTGGGAGTGGCTGAAGGTAAACTGGGGTGCGGAAAAAGGCGTGAGTTCGCGGTCTGCTAAAAAAACACTGATCAGCCATGTGTGTGCGAAATTGGGGAGGATTCTGTTTGATGAATCGGCAAAGGCTGCTAAAAAATGGGCATTCTTGGAGATGCGGAAGGTGCTGAAAGTCAGGGCTAAGCCGGTTGAACCACCGGCCAAGCGGGCGAAGGGGCTTGGAGCGAGAGGGGGGGGATGGAAGTGCCGCATGTGCGTCGGGGAGGGGGGGGGAGAGAACGGCAACGTCGATTCATCACCTCTTGATATGGGTGCTTCGGGTGGTATAGCGGACGAGTTCTCACGAATTCTGGAGATCAAGTGGGCCGACAACGATACGCCTTTTGACTTTGATCCACATCCCTCGCATGTCGGCCGGGACGACATCACCCACGATTTCATTATGGAGTCGGCCGCGTCTATGTTCCACCTTGATGACATCGACAATATGACTCGTGGTGAGGCTCTATTCCAAACTCATTAAAGTCTGGTTTCCGTTGATGTAAAAACATGCGTCTCTAATATGTTACTCATTTTCTTGGGCACTTTCAGCTGAACTGGAGTCGGGTCTAGAGATGGGGCGAGATCAGCAGGCGGAGGCGCCTGTAGTGGCGGGGGAGCTTGGAGTGGCGGGGGAGTCTGGAGTGCCGGGGGAGGGTGGAGAGGTGGGGGAGCCTGGGGTGGCAGGGAAGCCTGGAGTGGTAGTGGAGCCTGGAGTGGCAGGGGAGCGTGGAGTGGCAGGGGAGCCTGTATTGGCGTAAGAGCCTAGGGTGGCGGGAAAGCTTGGAGTAGTGGAGGAGACTGGAATGGCGGGGGAGCCTACAACTGTGGGCGAGGGTGGAGTGGTGGTGGAGCCTGGAGTGGCGGGGGAGTCAGGAGTAGCAGGGGAGCCTGAAGTGGAGGGGGAGCAAGAAGTGGCGGGGGAGCCAGAAAGTGGCGGGGGAGCCTGGAGTGGCGGGGGATGATGTTGTGAGTCGTACCCCGAGGTGGCAGGAGAGAAAGATTGGAAAGCGGAAACGTACTGATGAGGGGTCTAGCAGCGACAACGCGGAGGGTGAAGAGGCGGAGGTGTCTGTTGGTCAGCGCTTCTGCATTCATTTCCACCATTGCATGACGCGTGCAGCAACCAAGGCAGAAGCAGGTCATCCAATGACTCCTCAAGGAGTGGCCGATGAGATTGGCGGGTGCGGAGACCATTGGGCAGGCATACACATTGGTTGTCAGCGAGATGGCGTGGTCCCACGTTGTGTTAGGGAAGGGTGGGGGAAGGAGAGTGCACTGTATGAACCGGGTTCGGCGACTCACTTGGCGTTCAAAAAGTGGCTGTCGGTCAACTGTGGCCCAGGTCCCATGGCCGCATACGTTAGAGGGGCATCAAACTGGTTGAACGAGTCATTTCACTCGTTGATCACGAAGTACGCGCCGAAACGTATAGCGTTTCTTGGCAGTATGGAGGCTCGGGTGGCTTTGAGTGTGCTTCATTGGAATCACGCGGTAGAGAGGGTTGTCAGGGAGTGGCGAACACGCGTACGCAAGGTAACGGGAGTGCGTCGTGGGATGAAAGATAGGGTGCTCGGCCCAATGGATTGGCGTTGGGTGGATGAGGTCTTGGAGCGATGGGGAAAGATAAGGGAGTGTGGGAGCAAAGCAGGGATCGTTGGATCCGAGGAGCAAGGGGGAAGGGAAGTGAATGCGGGGGGGGAGGTGGAAGACGAGGTGGAGGACGTGGTGGAGGACGGGGTGGGGGATGGCGAAGAGGACGGGGTAGGAGTCGAGGTGGTTCTCGACGAAGTAGTGGAGGCTGCGGTGAGGTTGGGAGCGCCTCTAGGGGATGAGAACGAGGCGCCCCATATTAACTCCAATCCCATTCGACTTCCCTCAATGCCATCCCGCGCCGGCAGTTGCGCTCAGGTGCGCACGCCATTTTCACCGCCGACCCCAACATCCGATGCATTCGTGTTCACGAGCCCTGCAAGCATGCGTGATTCCGCTTCGGGGGCACATACACAACGTCGTACCCGCAGCAATGCGCGCCCCAATCGAGTCCGGCGGACGCTACCGCTTGGTTAGTGTTGGGGCGTCTAATCAGTACGGTTTTGTTTTTTTCATGTGGATGCATATCTACATCATTATGTTTCGTAAGATGGTGTTTGATTTTTGTGGTCTGTGATCATACCGTCCCCAATTCAGTCGACCCATCCCAACCGCCGCAAGCATGAAGTCAGTGTACGAGATGATCGAGTTCCGTGCAAAAGACAACGCAAAATTTTCTCGCGGTATGGCCATATTGGGCTTGTTGTGGGAATTCTTCTTGTTCAAAGGAGGTTTCTATATTTGTTTTCCCATTCCTAACTTATGGCTTGTTGTAGAGTCTCTTCTTGTTCAAAGGAGTATTCTACAGTTGTTTTCCCATTCCTAACGTTTTTTTACTTCGACAGATTTGTGGACTTCAAGTATGATATTGGAACCTAACCTCAAGCCGGCATCACCCTATTTGGCACTATGGTTTCGATCAGTAAGTCTTTCAAACTCCCACCTGGAAGCTGCCTTGACGCTTCCATCACGAAACGTTTCCCCCCCTACGTGCCTTCCATCTCCCCCCGTTCCCATCATCTCATCCAACTTGCAATATCGACCCATCTAGCCTTGCCATCATCATTCATGTCCTTTTGTCATCACCAGACACATCCTCTCATCATCCGGCAAGGCCCAAGGCGTCAAGGCAGCAGAGTGGCGGCCCTGCAAGGCGCTTCTCCGTCAGCAGGGGGTTATCTTGGAAGCCGCCCTCTGCGCCGCCCTTCTCGTCGAACAAAGGGATATGGATCAGCAGCGACCAGTCCCGCGACGAGACCGGGAATGCCTCGCGTTCTACGTGGACAACACAGAGGAGCGGCAGCTGCGGCGCTTTTACAACAAAATTTGCAGAAACCTCGGGCACTTGGCAGATCGATTGGTTTCATCTGAGCACCAGGTCTGGCCGATAAGACGCACGAATCGATATGCACCTAGCCTAGGGGTACCAGCCCCCATCGTGCAACCTGAACCCAGCGGTTCAGCATCAGCAGTAGAAGCCGTCACAATTTCAGTGACAACGACAATCAGGACTGGAATCTCCCAATCCCATTGCTTGAAAGCCCCCCGCACGTACCTGATTCACGGGTGGCACCGATCAATTGGATCTCGCGCGAACAATTCCTCAAGTTCGACACACCGCACATCGTCACACCGCGATTGGCGCTGCTCGCGCCCGGCGACAACAGGCGCTGCAACATGTAGTACCTGGACAGCTGCTGTGCGCAGCATATGGTGGGCTCCGAGCGTTACATATCCAACGCCATCCCCGCCCCCACGGTCACTTACGTCACCGTGGCAAACAACACACGACTGTGCGCAAGCGCGCAAGGCATCCTTGTACTCAAGCACGAAGGAGCAGGACGCATATCACGCTGAGCAAGTGCTGATCGTGCAGAACCTGCTTTTCCATTTCCCTCGGCTGCGCAACTCATGGATTGCGGAGTTGATCTCAGCACCGACCCCGAGACGCACGGCATCCTACGCACTATACCGCGCCGAGAAAGCCGCGCAAGCTGTGCAAGGAGATCGGACGAGCACACTTTGAAAATAGAGTGTACATCCTCAACTCAATATTCCTGACTGCAGCGGCGACTCAAACGAGCTAATTGACCTCATTCCACTGCGATTCGAGCATATTCACCGCTTGGACTGGAAGCACCCTGATGGCAGGCCATGGGTGCCACATCACCCGCACCCACGTGAACTGGCGCTACGCGAACCTGACCCATACGACATTTGCAGGAACTGTCACATGCCCACCGCTTCATCGAGAGCCATCGTCGGCCGTTATCTCACCGCCATCGCCAAAGCTGAACGAGCCGCGCCTCCAGAAGAAGGCATGTCGGCGTGGCTAAAGTAGCTACTCAGCGCATTTTCGGCCCCAAACAGAACCCACTTTGCGGGTTACCCCTCCCAGCGGCTCGAAAACACCTTGTGTGGACAGCGCCGCGGAACTTTCGACGTGCGCGGAGTAGCGCGCCCCTACACAAAAGAAACATTTCTTGAGCTGTATCCCCACTGGTGCGATCCCACAACGCCACTCACTGTGGAACAAGAAGAGGAGCTACCAACGCCCTAACAACGCCCTACCAACGCCGCGAAGCCGAAGAAATTCGCCAAAAAAACATCGCCGAAGCACGCGAGACGTTTGCCTGCGCTGCTTGGGGAGCGGAGGAAGAGAGCGCCTCCAATGAAGGGGGGTGGGGGAGCGCTGGTGGATGGGGAACGAGCGACACTGGCGGCTTGGGCGCCGCAACTGGCGGTGGCACAAGCAGATGGGGCACTTTCGGTGAAGGCTGGAGTGCCTGGCGAGGAGAACAATGGGGGGAAGAAGTGCCTGCAGAAGCCGAACCACGCGTTGTTCCCCTCGGCCGTCCTCCACGCCTTCCCGCACCTTCGCTGCCCCCGCCTGACATCCGGCCGCACCGCGACCCCTGGGACACCATCGACTGGGGCAACGAACCATCCACTCCGCGCCGCACAGTCTACGGACCTGACCCAAAGCCGCACGAGCCCACCTTCGTCCCTGGCACGATTACCGGCACCAGCATTCCCCTCTCCGTGATTCTCGACAGAGATTTTTTTTGCGCTGATACTTACAACGGTGAACGACGTAGAAGAAAAAGCCAAAGAAGCAGCAGCAGAACCAACCCCGGCACTAGAAGAAGACCCTGAGGTAGTGCCCGCGTGCTACATACGCACCTCTGGATTATGCACAAACAACGACCTCTGGCACCAGCGCCTCGATCACCCCTCGCGCGCAACACTGAAAAACGACATCAACGCGGGCGTATTCGCACCTGGCGCTCTCCTGCGCCCTGACGGCTCCGAAGTTAGGAGCACGTCACAGCCGAGGAACTGCACCGACTGCCCTGAAGCTGCGCTATGCCACCAACCCTTCCCCCTTCTGGAGCCGGGAACTAACCGCTACCCAATCTGCACAAAATGTACAGCGATTTCCTCGTCGTTGGCCACTGCGGGCTGAATGACGAGCAGTTCACTCTCACGTTCGTTGTCACAAGAACCCGCTATGTGTGGGTAGTTAACATCAAACTCTGCAGCAGGGCGTATGAATTATTCCGCCTCTGGCTGGCGCACGCGCAGAGGCAATCTGGGAAGAATCTGGAGATTTGGCAGTCGGACTACGCATCAGAATTCCGCAGTAAGGAGCTGCAAGAAAGGCATTGAGCACCACATCTCTCTCCCCTATGTACACCCACAACAAGGTGTCGCCGAGCGCACCTGCACGCTCATGACAAAAGTGCGCGTGCTCCTGAAACAGTCAAAACTTCTGTCAACATACTGAACGTCTGCGATGCACCACGCCGTGCGGGTGCACAACCTTCTATCAGCTACCGCCATCACCGGCAACCTGTCCCCGCACCTGAAATAGACGGGTACAAAGGGCGACACGTCAATGCTCCGCGTCTGGGGGTGCATGGTGCAATATCCCCCACCGACATCAACCATCGACAAATTCGCAAGTCTCGCGCACCAGGGAATCCACCTTAGCATCAGCCATGAATATAAGGAGTGGCTCATCCTGGACCAAGTCAGCCAGAAGATCACAAACATGCACGATGTAATCTTCTACAAACGACTCTTCCTCGAGCAGTTCCGCGAACACGAGCGAACAAACACGAATCACGTTTACACCAACGACGGGCACAGCTACGCAATGCCCAAG